CTACTACTACTACTACTACTACCACTACTACCACTACTACTACTACCACTACTACCACTACTACTATTACTACCACTACTACCACTACTACTACTACCACCACTACTACCACTACTACTACTACCACTACTACCACTACTACCACTACTACTACTACCACCACTGCTACCACTACTACTACTACCACTACTACCACTACTACTACTACCACTACTACCACTACTACTACTACTACCACTACTACCACTACTACTACTACTAATACTACCACTACTACTACTACTACTACTACTACCACTACTACTACTACTACCACTACCACTACTACCACTACTACTACTACTACCACTACTACCACTACTACTACTACCACTACTACCACTACTACTACTACTACCACTACTACTACCTCTACTACCACTACCACTACTACTACCAATACTACCACTACTACTACTACTACTAATAATAATAAATCAATCAATCAAATTAATTTTGAACAAAGAGATAACCATACTTGAACATATTAAATGCAGAATACACATATTTTTATAGCAATAATAATCTTAACATGTTCGAAATGGTGTAGGAAGAAGTAAAAAAAACTTATAAACTCCTACCCCGTGCTAATTTCAGTAATATATAATAATAAATAATAATACAACTCAGGCTAACTTAATCGTTAAATTACAGTGTAAATTTATATTCAACCTTGTACAACACTTCGTGACGCAATCACTCCTCATTTCTACATATTAAAGAACATAAACACATAAAACGAATGCACCTGAGCAAACATCAAAATTAATTAAATCATTTCCATTTCATAGTTGCTTTTTTTTGGCATAGACTCACTACACACATATATTTATAGTAAGTACATATATATTCATCCAGCTGTACACATACAATCATGTACGCTTATCAACTGACATATACACATTTATACACCCACTCACCCATTCATATTTTATATCTTAAAAAAATAGCCTCCTTATATTTTCTTTTAAACTGTATTAAACTTTGACTTTTTTAAGTCCTCTTTTAGTTTGTTCCATAATTTGACCCCATGAGTTGAAATACAAAAGCTCTTTCTTGTTGTACGTATCCTACGAATCCTTAAATTTAGTAGTAATAGCAACAACAACAACAACAACAACAACAACAACAACAACAACAACAATAATAATAAAAGCTGTACTGCAGTGGTAGCTGAAACTTCAGGAGATGAAAAAAGGAACATTTTTAAGTTATAATCTAAACCCATTACTATGAAGCATATAACTTGTTATTATTGGATGTAACAGACAGGATCCAGAAGAAGATAAAAACATATTTGACCCATTTTTTAAGTCCTACGGCGCCAGCGGGGACTCTTACCGATGGCCATGAAGATCTCGTTGACGTTCATGGAGGTCTTTGCTGAAGTCTCCATGAAGAGCAAACTGTTGTCGTCTGCGTACGACTGCGCGTCCTGCGGAGGAACGACAGGAAGTTCAAACGGCGGGATCACAGAAACGACCAATCTTTAATGAGTTTAAAAAACAAACAAACCCAAACTAACCTGGAAGTCCAGAGCTCTCTTGTTTGTGAGATCAGCCTTGTTTCCAGCCAGAGCTATTACGATGTTTGGACTGGCTTGTCTCTGAAGCTCTTTGACCCAGTTCTTCGCCCGAACAAACGACTCCTGGCAAACAGAGCAGAGCGGGGTCAGGGCCGGGAAAATACAGTCCGGACGATACAAGAAGAGGATACAAGAAGGAAACCATTAAAACCATCATTTATAAACTAATAACATTTACATCAGTAGAAAAAGAGAAGTTATATAAATATAAAATGAAAACTAAACGTGTCTAAAGAAGAGTTCATGAACTTTGACCTGGTGATCCAGCCCTGAAAACCAAAACCAACAAAGGCCCAGTCAGGTGGGAAGATAAATAAAAGCCGTAAGAAAAAGAGAATTTTATTTGTTTTTTAAATGCTGGCATTAAATATTTCTTAGAAAGCCATTTTTTAAATACATAAACCAAACAGAAAACAGAGTTATTTCACTTTATGGTAATAAGTTTAGACAAAGTTAATGAGCCAAGAGAAGAATAATGTGTTCATATAAAGACGTGATGCTGAGAGGTGACTCAACTGTTCAAGTGTTGAGGCGTAAAAATAAACTTCTGTTTTTAGCCCGACAGAGATAAAAAAAAAAATTTAAAAAAGGACGGAAAGTCCCTCTGCTCCCTCGGCGTCACTTTAATGTGAAATTCAGAGCTGCAGGTAAGACGATGCCGGCTCACCTCGTTGGTTATGTCGTAGACCACGATGGCCGCCTGCGCTCCTCTGTAGTACATGGGAGCCAGGCTGTGGTAGCGCTCCTGACCGGCCGTGTCCCAGATCTCAAATTTGACCGTCGTGTCGTCCAAACATACCGTCTGAGTCAGGAAGGCAGCTGCACAGAGCCGAGAGCCACAACTGAGCCACAACACAAACATGCTGACAGCAAACAAAAGAGATCTGATCAAACAGAAACAACAAGTGATTTATGATACAAAACTCTTTATCTGCATCTAATGGAAGAAATCTGACTCAACTCTCAGGAAGAAGTCAGTTTGTCGCTCAGTTATCTTCAGATTAGGTCTGGACAAAAACACACCTGAAACGAAGAGTCTTGTCTTCGTCAAGACGGCAACATCAAAAATCAGTCTGAAGCCGAGTTCTAATGAATATCTTACCTGTTACAGATGGGTTTTTAAAAAGGTTATGTGTGGACTCATGAGCTAAAGGCTAGTCCAAGCAGAGCTAACGCTGCATCCCGGTTGGATTCCGGATCCAGGATTTCCACGACTGACAGTAAAATCAACTGAAACGCCTCAAAAAATGAGTCGTTTTGATTTAGCTTAGATAAACGTTTAATTTTAATATTTTATTCTCGGTCAGTTTTTTTTTTATACCTAATTTCCCTCTGGGATCAATAAAGTATTTTTGAACTGAACTGAATTGAATTTGCACCTCATTTAGTGGATTAGCTTTTTTGCTAACTTTACTAAAACCATTAGCGGACGGATAAGCTTCCTCTAAATTAGGTTCTGCTAATTTTAAATCAACTAAAATAATAAATGTAAAACTTCTATTTTTATGCCTTTATCCCAAATTAAATAAAAAACTATTCCCACTTAGAAGCCGTGCAGAATGTTTCAGGCACCATGTATGTTAGCAACTTTAGCAGCTAAACTTCAAACTAAGAACTTCAAAAAGAAACAAAATAACATTTAACAAGATTTAAATAACAAATACAAAACTGACCAAGTATAAAATATGGTAGAGAAAATATTTGTGATTTGTTGTTTGACTAACTTTAAACTGCTTTAATAAAAATACAAACTCGATCAAAGAAATGCTTTTATTCTGAAAAAGGGGCAAACTGGAAGTATCACAAGTTAGACTGAGCTGTAACTCTGGTTTGGATTGGCTGATTTGCCACAGATGACCCCGCCCGCTTTTAAATTAAACCAATAAAAACTAACAACAGGTATGTGTCAGTCCCACCAGTCTTCAACTGGAAGGAGATGACAGTCATCTTAGCGGTTAGCCTTAGCTTCCAGTGATTTTTAAACTTTATAGAGGGTTAGCATTGGCAGAGCTAAGATTCTTGTTTAGCAAATAAGTAGCTGGTGAAGCTAACTTTTTGGTTAGCTGTGCCTACCACTATTAGCTGCATTAGCAGGGCTTGAATGAACAGAAACTCATGGTTAGCTTGCATCGCTAACAGGAGAGCATCACATTTAATTATACAGGTTGTAACTGGAAGAGTGAACACAGCTAGCTTTAGCACTTCCTGCAGAACTGAGAGCAGCATCAAGCTTTAAAAAATGGTGATAATATGAACTGATATGATTTTTTTTTTATGATAGGTGTTTTTTTAGGCAGCAGGGGTCCACTTTGGTTCTGATCCGACTCAGAACAGCAGTCAGCTTGGTGGTCCGGTCAGAATTAATCTCTGCAGTCGATCACGAAGCAGATATTTGTTGTTCAGAACCTTTCCTAAACCTCACCGGTGAATTTTACCATCTTTTTAGCCTCATTTTATCCTCTTTGTCAATTTTATTGTGAAGGTTTAACAAACAACAATTTCTACTCATTTCATTAACATCTTATTTGTTTTTTCTAACTAAAAAATGTTTTTTTTTGTTTTTAAATTCTGCTACTCGATTGACAGTTCACCTCTCTGATGTTCTGCTAAATGTACCTCCGATCGTGCTCTCCTGGAACTCGTGGAACTGACCCTTGACGAACCGAAGCACCAGACTGGACTTCCCCACCGCCGACTCTCCTAAAAGCACGAGTTTGAACTGGCAGATCTTGTTGCCGGCGTTCGGGCCGTTGGGTCGCGTGGCTCCGCCTCTACTGGCCATGTCACCGTGTGCAGCGGCGTCCCCCGAATGCAGCAGAAAACTGGAAAAAACCTGAAACAGATGACGAGGAGGAGTCTCAAAATCAGAAACTGAACAACCTCTCTTCTGACAGTCAGATCAAACGTATCCTCCCTGAACCGGACTGGTCCGTTTTAGACGGTTTTTATTTTAAAGAGTTTAAATATTTTGACTATATTCACTGAGGTCGACAAATTGACAGCTCTTAAACAAAAATGCCACAAACTTGTTGTTTTGTAGACAAAGATTAATTTATTCTCAAAACAGATCTTGGCTTTAATTTTTATGTTTTCCATAAGATGTCACTATTTCTTTAAAAAGTCATTTCAAATTTTAAAAAGTCACAAAATGCAAGGATTCAATAATCTCATAAACACATATTTTATTGACAAAGAAACACTTAACATTTCAAATATTGAAGAAATTTGACGATTAAAAAAAGCAACAACTAATTTTGTATTTGATGGCAGCAACACGTCTGAAAATACTTGAAACGGGGTACATTAAAAATTGTTAAAGTACATTTTACCAATAAAAACAGCTGGAGGTGCGTTTGGCAACAGGTCAGTAAAAGCAACAGCGCTCAAACTTTCCAGCTTCTGACCCACAAAATAACAGCAGCAGAGATCTGTGCCCCCAAATATTTTTAGCTGATAAACGTAAGTATCAGGTTCAAAACATAATAACAATATTTATTATGCTAATTTTGTGTATTTTTAAGTACACTAACCTCACTCTTTTTAACAACTAAGACAAAAAATGTTATTAGTAATTTTTAAAGTGCCTGTGACATAATTTTTTAAAATAAATATAAAGACATTATTGGAAAGATAACATTATTAGCAGATTGCAAAAATAATTTCCTGCTGCTGAGATGAACAGTTGTTGAGATATTTGCATTTGAAGTAACAGGAAGTGATGTCAAAGGGGAACGTCTGCATGGAACAAAGCATCGATAAAATAGCAAACAACAGACTGTAGAGAAGAATCTTTTTCTTTAGATTATTTTGAGTTTCTATCAGAGATGAAGACGAGTCAGAGTTCAAATCATATTGTTTCAATAAACAAAGATTAGAGTTCTTTCTTAAAGAGTTCCCCTTTGATGTCACTTCCTGTTGCACCGAAATACACCATTTATGTGACAAAATGGGTAAAAATCACATGTTTTATGCAAGGTTTCTTATATAAAAATGTTTTTTCTTTGACTTTTTGTATTTGATGGACGGGCATGTCACAGGCACTTTAAATGCATTTAGTTCTGAAAACATTTTAAAGACTCCATCGTGATTTTTCAGGACCCACAGTGGGGTCCGAACCCCAACTTTGAGAAGAACTGCGTTACAGGATGGAGTATAAAAACACTTTAGGAGTAAAGCTGGGCAGAGGTTTGACGGTCAGGTAAATCAAAACTTAATATTCTTCTTGGAAACATTAAATGCCATGTCTTTTGACCGAAAGAGAAAACAGCTGCCTCTCTGATGGTATGGAGGTGCATAAGCCCCACAATGGCATTTTTTTCCCTTTTTCACCACAATGGTTGAAGCTGATCAGCCCACAATCACACCCACAGTGACACACTGACATGGACACACACAGCTGAACAGAACCGAACAGACATGAACTAAATACTGCACTATTAAAATCTTCTTGGAAACATTAAGTTTGCCTCTCTGATGGTATGGAGGTGCATTTGTGCTCGGAGCATGGACAGCTTACCATCAATGCAGAAAAGTATGTCCAGGTGTTAGAGCATCAAACAGCAGTAGCAGAAAACATCAGAGAAGTTCTTCTTTCCTCCAGGTTTATCACAGACTCTCATTACAAAAATAAAGACCCTCAACTTAGTAGAAACGCAGTTACGACACACACACAAAAACAAAACACACAGGCTGTGTTGTTAGCACAAATTAGCAAAGCTAGCATTAGCCGCACGGCTAGCTAAGTAAGCTGAAAACGTCAAACACCGAACAAAACCCGTCGTGACAGTTGATTCAGTCGGTGTGACGTTAGACTCAATACGAGTAGTTTCATGTTTAACAGGCTCACAGACTCCAGGTCTGACGTTTGAGAATGTCGGAGCATGAAGCAGGTTTGGGTGTGTACAGCTAATGACGGCTAGCCGCATAACGTTTAGGTAGCTCCCCCCACTCATCGATCAGCGATCTGAGCGGGGCTGTTGATCATAAATGTCTATTACTGTGTTACGAACCTGGCAGTGTTCACCCAACCGGAGTAAACAACCGTTAACCTACACTGCTGACTGGCACGGCCCTTGTGTTGTTTTAGCTAGCTAGTTATGTTGTTTAGCTAGGACCGCTTGCTTCGGGAGGAGCCCTCCGGTTAGCATTTAGCTTCCAATATTAGCTACTCACCTAAAAGAAGCAGCCTGGTAAAAAATGAAGCGTTTCCGGAACAATATCTTTAATGCTTAAAGGTCTGTCCACAAGGTATCCAGTCAGACACAGTAGCGTTAAGATTTCATGAAGCTCCGCTGTCTCCCTCTCCCACTTCTTTCAACTTCCCTTTTGTACGAAGGATGATGACAGATCTGTAGGGCAAGCCGTTGTAACATATAATAAAAGCACAACATGAAAGCAGCCCACCGAGCATGTTGTTGCAACATTTAGTGAAATATTTTAGCGCTCACACTTCATTTTTACACTGCAGTTTTTTGTTGTCACGACTGCAATTATTAATGTCAATTTTGGCTTTTTAATCAGTCTTAGTATGGATATTGTTTATATTTGCTTATGTTTTGATGTTTAATAGGCCTTCATCGTGTTATGAAAAGAATTCAAATTTATTTTTAATCTTGAATTTCGGTGGTAATATTTATTTTATTTTTTGAAATTAAATTTTTTTTGTAATATAAACTCCAATTGACAATGTTTATTCTTGGCAGAAAATGTGTATTTGTAGGAACTGAATTGATTAAAAAAGAGCTGTTTGTTCTGAGAACATTCATGTTTATGAATGGGATTTCGTTTATTCTGGCTAAATCAAATTGATGATCAAACAGGAGTATGAAAGAATCCTGCCTTTGTATTATATGATAACTGGGCTTGCTATACTTATGACCACAACCCTCAATTAATCAGCGACCAATCTTACGCTGATATTTATTCAAATTTCTAAACTAGAGCAATAAAGAGAACGATCTAGGACGGTAAAAATGAAATTACATTTTATGTTAATAAAAACTTGACAATGCGGAATCAGCGAAGTTCAACGGCGTCATCGGTTCAACACCTGTCGTTGCTAGGCAACGGAACTCAAACCGATAACCGAAAAACTTCTGTCGTGTCGTGCTCGCTAAGTTGTGATTTTTTCCCCCCGCATAATAAATAAAAGTTGTTTATCTCAGTGAGAATTTAGGATGGATTTGACAGAAGGTCATACCTCATCGTGTGATATAAAATTCGGAGGTGAATGCAGAAGGGTAAGACGACTTATGCTAACTTACCGAGTAGCTAGCTTGATGCTAACTCACCAAGTAGCTAGCTTGATGCTAACTTACCGTGTAGCTAGCTTGATGCTAACTTACCGAGTAGCTAGCTTGATGCTAACTTACCGTGTAGCTAGCTTGATGCTAACCATGCTAACCACGTCTGATTTATTATTTTTTAATGTCAGTAATATGGTGTTCTTTTAAACTGTAGGCTGGGAAACTAAAGCCAATTGGTGACAGAGCAAAAGACTGCTTTCAGGAAATGCCAAGTGTAAGTTTACATTTTTTTATATTTTTATTATTATATTGTGAAAAAGTTTGTTTACTTTGTGATTTTCTGTAATAAATACTGCTGGTTCCAGTCTCAGACGCCACCGGTGGTGAGGAAATTTCTCAGCAGTAACCAACAAGAACCAGGTACCATCAGGGTCCACCATGGGAAGGCGTGGGACCCGGATGTTGCCAGCAGTGTCGTTCACGGCATCAGCACCAAAACATCCCTCATGGTGAACACCACGAGAACACACAACCCCTGAGCCGAGCTGAGTCTGTTAGTAAAATATCTCCTGGTCAAGTTTTAATGGAGCTTTCAGGGAATAATCTCTGAATTAGGGCTACATGATATCAGAAAAACCTGTGATGTGTGACAACAGTGCTTAATACTGCGATGACAATATGATCTGCGATTATACATACATACATACATACATACATACATATATATACAGTATATATATGACATGATTTGTTTGTGTACAAACTAATAC